TTTTTTTTTTTATTGTTTGGCAAGAATTTCAATGGGCTGGAGAAAAGCCCAATGTTGCACAGATCTATCTATATATAAAAAGGCTGTTGTTTAAATCATTTATAGTAACTTTTGACCAAATAAATAATTCATTTGACATACTATATAGTAGACAATTTGATAAAACCAAAAGAAACTGAAATAAGTGCTTTCAATTACCGAAATATATGCTTTGCAAATTAATAGATCTATATTTTCAATTAGTTTATTATTTCAAAACGTGATTAAGAGTTTGATATCAAGCTAAACACTTGAAATACATGCTTTTAAAAAGAAACGTAGTTAATAATTTTTGTGAGAGGTTTGTGAGTTACCGAAATACATGCTTTAAAATTCGTATGTTTCATATTTTAATTAATTATTTAAGTACAAATTTTCTATGACAATTTGATTCAAATCCGGTTACATCTATAGAGAATTTTGTTATTATTTAAAAATTGTTTATAACTTAGAGTTTTGTTTAGGTGTTCGAGGAAATAAATCATGCATACCATTTTATTTGAAATTTATTTGATTTTTCGTGAATATCTATTATTATATAAAGAGATAATCCAAAAACCTTAAAATAGTAACTAAAAAATAATTAACCCGCCTAATTATTTACTAAACAACAAATATAGTAGTGTTTTTGGAAATTTTTAAAATATCCCGTCTAAATGTATTTTTGAAAATAAAAAAAAAAAAATTAAATTTAACAATTAAAAGAAAATATCACATACATATTTTTTTGGATACATTTCATTTTATCTTAACTTCCATATAATCTACCACATAATGAAAAAGTATCTACTTACAAGCAACAAATAAGTTTAATATATTTATTATTGTCATAGAATCGTATTTATATGATTTTATTTTTAATTATTATGAGGTCGGATAAATTTTGAAAGGTGAATAGAATGGTTACATGTCAGAATGTTTATTTAAAATTTAATAATACATTTATAAATTAATTACATTAATAAATTATATTAATTTAAATTTAATACTTATCATTAAATATAAAACTAATACTTTTATAACCACTGAGTGAACGTCACGACCTACCATTCCTGCTGCTTCCAAATTAACTAGCCTTGTAGTCGTATATTTCTGTAGCTCCCTTCTATAATGAATAATAATGAAACT